ACATTTGCTTGGTAATTTTTTTGGCTTTCTGTTGCCTTAACCGCAAACAGGAAAACAAATTCTGCCCGTTCTTTACACATGTAAGCGCTTACGACAGATCACAAGAAAGATGTCTTGGTCTCTTTTGTCAGCGAGTGCATACTCTTGAAGACCACGAGTCTGGTTTTTCGTTGTGGATATATATTATCCGTTAGTATTGGAACTTTCTGCTAAAGTTGTGGACTGAGTGTTTATAGAAATGTCTTTTGATGATGAAATCAGTTTTTAACTCGTGATTATAATTGCTATGCTGAACGCCACTGGTTACAGGTCGATACATATGTGCACGTGTCTTACCGCAGGCTAATCGCAAATGATATGGATCCAAGTCATATGTGAGCTGAGAATTATGCTTTGTAAGTGATGTGAAAACATCATGTACTGCACGGGAAATGGCAATCAAACAAAAAAACCTACTCCAGATTAACAACAAAAGAAGACACACCAAAAAAAAAAAAAAAAAGAACAGTTAGATCAGACGACATTGAAGACTTGTTTACAAAAGTTCTGTGACATTTCACTAAGATGCATATCGTGTGATGCTGACTGGCTCTGAAAGTCGCTAAGAAACCGGTTTTTTTTTTTTTTTTTAGTTCGTCAAAGGGTGGTTGCCACACTGTATTGTGGTTTACAGCTAGGTTGTGATATTTGCGCCTTAGGGCCCAACACATCAATCGAACAATCGGTTGCCTCCTCCGTAATGGCTACGTCAGCCAGTTGTAACCTGCAGTCCGATACGGGTAAGGACAGGTGAGAGCGGACACATCCGATTTCAATAAATCCCTAATTTAGTCACTTTTTATGCTATCTTAGTTCGGGGGTATTGTGGGGGGGGGGGGGTGTTGTTTGATTGTTAGGGGCTTCGGGGGGGGGGGTGAATTTTGAAAATGGACTTGTCTAGAGTTTAAGTTACCTAGGGGGCCACTCGAATTTTAGAAAGGCTTAGGTGGGGCATGGCATGTCGTCTTGTCAGTTTAGAAGTTCAGTAATTTTTGTTAATTGTTTTTCTTTAGTTCAGTTTAAGCCTCTGAAAAGTGTGGTAGTGTATGTGTATGTGTGCGTGTTTATGTGCGTGCCTTATATGCACCTATGTATTTGCATTTGTGCTCGTTCTTTCAGCCATGTGAATCAACCAAATGTTAGCTACTTTCTTGCAGTAACGATCTCAGCAACAACAAAAATTACTACTCCACAATTCAAGATAGTATAATTTTAGCTGAGTAAGTGCATTTCCTTATTTATTTGTGTGTTTTGTACTAGACGAAGTGGACCTAAGTTTTTTCAAAAAATGTTTTATTATTTGCTTTATTTCATTATTTCTGTTGATATTTCAAGGATTTTCACTTCAGGTCACATATTTAATGAACATGTAACACAAGAGTGTTTAATAACTTCCTTCTGTTTTTCTGAACCAGAAGCACTTGAGCATAGCTCATTTGGCTTAGTGTCTTGAGCATCTAAGCCCTTCAGCCTAGGTTCCACGTACACCGTTATTATGGTGAGTATGCTCGAACCCGAGACCAGACAGTCAGGACGATTGTCACCTCACGTCCACTGGAGCTACTTAAATGCGTTTGTGTGTGAATTATTCTTATGCCATCATTTTCTTTTCCTTCCTACTTACATAAGGTTGCTGGTGGGGGAGGGGGGGGGTGAGAAAAGATCGCGAGACGGAAACAGGTGAGAAAATACGACTGTAAGGGCAAGGAGCTAGACTACACATCCTACTGCAAACAGAGTATCTAGGAGTTTATATGTAATCAACCATGTTAGCACACGACATGTGAACTTACCAACGAAGATATCGTGTTATCCTGTAAGAAATGTGAATATATTATCTAAAAAGGCTATGTGCATGTCTGCCGACCAGAAGGTTTTGGGTTCAAATCCGCATCGGATGCAAAATGTTATGTGAACTTGGGCTTCCATGTTGACTAGCAAAAAACTGATACGAGAAATTGACTTAGGAAGTAAATGTTTCAGGTGTAATTTTGAAACCAAACTGTCAATAAATGCTGTAGTTGGTTCTGCAACGTCCTGTAAATGATACACAAGAAAGTTGTAACTGACCCAGATCAGCACTGGTGGAAAACCGTATGCCACTTCTGTGACTGAACCCCAACAACTGTCTCGACAAGCATTTGCACTAATCGTTATGCCATCTCGGAAAAAGTGTAAGTGACTAAATTAAAGTATCCTAGCCCAAACGACTACGCCAGAGATGACAATGATGGCCCACAACCTGGTGTGCAGTTACAGTGAACAATGTGAAGGTAGCCAGAGAAGAATAGTTAATCAACACAGACCGGAAGTTATCAGTCGCCACACGCTGTTGGATGTACCGAAGATGGGATCTGAGCGCTTATGGGCTTGTCCGATGTGCAATGAGGATAATCTTTCGATTAACTAACTTGGTAATCAATGTAGCGTGAATTCGCTGGTGGTTTATTAAATGCCACAGGAGGTAATAATTACTGACTGCAAAAGAAGTACAGAAAAAAAAAGGGGGGGGGGGGGGCGGAATATGACAAGAATGAAGATTGAGAAGAGGATGGTTGTAAGCACAAATATTTGTTTCGCTTGTTTACTTTTGAGAGAAATGTTTTTTTTTTTTTTTTTTTTGTTTTTTTTAATATGTTGAATATGGCAAAGTGTTTTTTTTTTTTTTTTCTTCTAGATGTGGTTGCAGCTTATATACATATTATTCATTGTGATCAAAATTTTCGCTATGTAATCTTTCATTCTGTATTTTTTATGTATATTATTATGGTTTGAAAAATAAAACTGTGTGGAGTTTTTTAACTGCCTAACTAGGTTTGCATTTGAAAAACAGAAAGATAAAAATTTGTAAAATGTATATATTGTTTTCCTGATTTCATAATTATGCTTAGAAAAAGGGGGGGGGGGGCGGCGTTGCATGGTTGCCTGGTACCTTGAAGGCCATGAGTTCGTTTACGGCTGCTAAACAGGTTCGTGGTTGTAATATTTACGGATTATAGCAACAGCTATGGAATTCGTGCTTTGTGTCACACTATCGCTAGGCCCCTAATTGTTCTGCAGACAGAGACAGTACCATATGGGATCAAATCCAATTCAATGAAATCAATCCTCTTACATTTAACCTTAAGATTTATACTAAGCTGATTAGTTTCAAGTATCTTACCTGGCAGTCTGTTGCCGGGTCTTTCAGCCAGTCCCACTGTTGCTTTGTAACAATGAGCCCACGGCAGCAAATACACTTATTATGTTCCAGTTTGGGTCGCCAATCTTCATATGTAATTCCCGCACCTCTATGGCATCATGATTCCAAAGACTCAGGTCAAACATCACATGTTTCAATCACTCCTTCGCTAGAGACATTGCCCATGTCTAGCAGGGTTTACATAACTGACATACCCAGAGCAATGAAACTTGTCTGCATTCAGCTCCTGAAGTATGATTACATCAAAATCTTATATCAACCTCTCTAATAAGGGCTCTCTCTCTCTCTCTCTCTCTCTCTCTCTCTCTCTCTCTCTCTCTCTCTCTCTCTCTCTCTCTCTCTCTCTCGCTCTGGCACTTTGATAATTTGAACAAAGAAGACACAAACAATAGACTGCACAATTTATTGCCTGGCATATTTCGCTGTTTCTCGTCAGGTGCATACTACAGTAACAATTAATTAAAATGAAGCAAATATGAATCCTAGAAACTGAAACACAAATTCGAATACATTTCAAACTTTCACCAAGGTAAGCGTAGGGCAACGACCATTTCTTTTTGCCACGTCCGGCTGCATATAAATCTGGAGCTGGCCGTGTTTTTTGCCTACATAGATCTGGTTTCAATCTGCCAATCGCGGAAGCTTCCGCGTATCGAAGTAATCTACGGTTGGCCGAATTGTAAATAATTCGAAATGCATCATCCCTGTTAATGATGTGCCCGGAATTAAGAATATGACACGCAATTGCTGATGATGGATTATTTCGACCAGTCACCTGATTCGTTGTTGTTGATAATTCTAAAAGCACACTCCTACATGATTAAAACCCAGCCGTTCTGTTTTTCATCTAAATCTCCTGGTTCCCGCCCCTCTGTTTCTCTGCTTTTTCCCCACATCATTTCCTCCTCTTTGTTCTCTCTTTGCTGCTAGTTAAAGATGACGTCAAGCGCAGAGTACGAGCTCCGTAGCTCCGGTGACAACTCTTTTAAAACGAAAAATCTAAATAATAAAGTAGCCAGTCACCCTAGTAGAGCCTGCTTGCTAGGGAAAAGACAATGGATGTCCTTATGAAGTCCACACGCCTGGCAGCGCCCCTCCCACTGACCAGACGTCCACGTTCACCACTGACTATCCCACAGCCATTCAGCCATTAGGCACGTTGGTCCGCCGTACGCTTATGGTTTGTTTTTTTAGTCGAAATTTTCTCCTCTAGATCCGTTGTGTTTTGTGCCTCTTTGGTCATGCACAACGCAACGGTCTTGACTAGAAAAGGTTTTTTTTTTTTTCAGATAATGAGACTTACGACTCAAGTGTGCCCCTTTCATTCAATAGGCACAAGAACTCATAGGGTCAAACCAAGTTCTCAATGCAAAACAGCTGGTGTGCTCCACTTGTTACCTTCTAAATTTTAATTCTTACCAGACCCCACATACACGCGCGCACCCAACGCACGCGAACATACACACACACACATCATCAATTCTCTTTATGCATAACGACACATGAGGCTTCAGCGAGGGCTTTCAATGCTTTCTTCGGTGCAGTTTTCCATGTCAGAGATGCTGCACTCAGTTCACTCACCATCGTTCGTTCTCCATAGGGGTTTTTGAGCGCCCCTTTTTTCTCTTTTCCTCTGGTGTCCAAGTGAGAGCTATTTTGGCAGGTATATAAGGATTCATTCTCATTACGTGGCTAAACCATTTCCATCTTCTCTTGGTTATGATACTGTCTAGAGTTTCTTGGTTTGTGACTTGAAGTA